TCAAATGGTTTTTGAAAAATTGAAATCGGTTGATTAGGACGGCCATAGTAAATTTTTAAAGTTAACACCCTTTTTTTATTTTTAAACAATTATATTACATTTATCAATTTTTCAATTTAGTTTTTTTTTCAAAAATTATAATTTTAAATTACTATATTTTTCTTAATTTTATCTGCATTTAACGAAAAAAATTAATTTCCAAATATTTTTTTTTAATTTGTTTAAACAAAAATTATTTAAATAATTGTAATAATAAATTGTAATTAAATACATTCATATTCAGTGTGTTGAAATATATACGTAAACAAATTTTTTCATTGAAAAAATGCAATAGCATAGGGTAAAATATACAGTATATTTAATGCATAAATAATAATCTTTGTTTATAACAAAATGTGTACAAATTAGATAGTTGGCATTATTATATTCCTTGACTCGCGACACATCGGATTAAAAAAAAAAATATATCGAAATTGGTCCATTAGAAGCCTAGGTAATGCAATTTTTTTCGTACGTTTGCATTTTGAACCTCCGAATTCAGTCTCGGAGTGAAAGCCCTCTCCTTCACTTTTCGTGTTTTGAGTCAACTTTCGCGCGTGCGAGCGACAGCTTTTCCGCAGATTTATCTATGTTGCTGATAACTTATGAATATGAGCTTAGAACTCGGAAAAACGAAGCCACTGGATCAAAGATTATTGCTAAATTGTTTATAAATTAACGGTAAATGCCGATAAACTTTCACCGCTTATATTTCGAGAATCAATAAGAGGAATTTAACTTTTTTTTTTAAGAAGCGTCTTTCCGAGTACTTTAAAATTATAGTTTTTGAAAAAAAACTAAATTGCAAATTGATAAATGTAATCTAATTATTTAAACATAAAAAAAAGAGTGTTAACTTTAAAAATTTACTATGGCCGTTCTAATCAACCGATTTCAATTTTTCAAAAACCATTTGAAAGGTTGAGCGGTCTTTTCTATGTGAAAAAATTAAAAAGTATCTAGATGCTTTATTTGAGGCTACGCAAGATTTTGAAAATTGGAACAATTTTTTTCAAATTTTTTTCAAAAAATTATTTTGCGAAAACTATAGAACCGATTTTAATGAAATTTGGTGTGTTGTTTTATTATACTCTATAGATTTTTTACCAAAATTAGAATGCCCTCGGAGCAATAAAAATATTTAAAAAAAATTATCCAAAAAGCTTTTGCCTTTTTTTCATCAATTATTGCTATTTTGCAACGTCGGTAATAAATTTAAACATTTTTAGTTTACAGTAAGTGCAAAATTCAATTTTCCTTTTCACTATGCTTCCAAAATGCATAGGTTCCAAGATATAAGTAAAAAATCAGATAAAATAGGTATTTTTAAAAAATGTTTAAACATTTTTGCAATTTTGAAAACGTTCCCGACCTCACCCACCTCTAGGGATCTACACTTTTATTATGAGAGTTGTATTTCGACATAATCCGCACTGGTCTAATTGAATAGACTTGACAGTGTGCTTCATATTTTTCCTTTTTCTCCTTTAAGTTCCAGGAACAAACTGGAGGATCAACTATTGTTCATCCTTGTCCCCAGCTCTGCGAAATTTCTACATATAAACCTTCGAGAAGACTGCTCCAAAGTCAGCAACTCTGTTTTTGAGAACATCGGATTATACCTCATTCTTCCAGTTTGTACTGTTCAGATCTGTTTTTTTTCTTCAGTGTGGCAAAAATGCCGAATTAAATAAAAAAGTAACAGAAAATACTGTAATAGCCACGTGGCGTTTTTTTTCAAGATTATTCCTTTAATAGAAACAATCATAAAGTTTGATAAATTTCGGACAAAATATAAATATGCCAAAACAACTACAGACAGTATCAACTTAATTTACGATGATAACATTAAGTAAATGTATTTTGATAAAAGTATGAAAGCTCATTAAATTTTATTTTTGTTTGAGCGATTAAGTTAAATAGATAAGTAAAAACAAAGCTAGTTTGATTTGCAATATACGATTGAATAATTTCCAGGTTGGTCGCCATGTCATCAGTTAATACGTCTTGACATTTCGAAAGTATATCGCTCTCTTCTTCGGAACAATTTCAGAGTTTCATCTGAAGAAGAGAGTGTCAAGAAGCCTTAACCGGCGACGTGGCAATAAGTCTAGAAATTAACCTAACTAAAAAAACATATACAACAACATATAGCACAATAAAAATACATTATCAAGACATTTTAAATGCATATATTTTCTATATTTAGCTACCGACAATTTCCATATCTTAATGAATATTCTATATCGTTACTTAAAAAGAGTCAACTTACTTATCGGTCAATTCCTTTAGCGAATTTGCAATTTCCGTTGTGATATCATTTTTATACGGTTAATATTTTTAAAGTTTAAAGATAAACTTCTTATGTTAACAACAATGTCAGTGACATGAGTGGCAATTGCAAAAATAATATGTAAATAACCTCCCAAATCTTCGCTGTTTCTCATTTTATTGAAAAACAATCAGTACACTTGCAGGAAGACGAACGAATTGACATTGGTTGTCATTTGTATTACTTTGTACTGACTGCTAGAATTTCGCTTACAAAACCATGTCTTTGCCAAATAATGAAGTTTTATTTTATTAAGTTTTAATTTTGTTTTATTTATTTATAATTAAAATCACAAAACAACATGAATATATTGACATTTAAGCAAAAGAATTTTTACAAACAAATGTAGTTTCTCTAAACTGGAAAACAAAAGGTAAGATCATTTTTGAGGATTTTTAACATTACATTTTTTTTCGTTTAGTTTTCGTTCTTTGTACTGTAAAACCCTCAACGAGATACTATTTATTAGTATTTTTTTAATCAGATTTATCGCATTTGTGTCTACGCTTTTCGTGCTTTGTATCTCAATAAGTTATTCAAAATTATTTTAGTTCTATCAGTGAGTACTCCTTTTCGAAACAAAATAAATGGATCAATGCTCACATCAATGACATGCAAGAACATTCTCAACTACCATCTTCTGCTCTTGCAATCCAGTACATAAAAAGACTTTACCATCTCAGCCTTATCTATACAGGGTGCTTCAGTCATACTGTCATTAATTTTAAGAGCAGATAGAGAAAAATTATTATAATACGATGGTGTGATTAAAAAAAAATTAAATGCATATTTAATCAGAAAAAAAATATTTTCAAATCATTATTTAACCCCCTTTTCAGGCTGTTACTGACCGGCTGACGTCAGCGGGTTATTCACAATTTGCGCACGGCTACGATTTGAACAACCCGCCCTACATACAACGTTGCCATATTTATATATTTTCGCTAATATAAAGACAATAAATAAACGGTTTGCTCACATCAGCCAATAATAATTTAAAATGCTATAAATTGTTTTTTATAATTATGCAATCAATATATTAAATTGTTATTGTTGCCCAGCAAGAACCTCGAGGAGGTCTGAGTATGCCTTGCCAAAAATCAGTTTTTATTAACATCATAAAGTTAATTATTATTAATTGCGTATAACCAAACTTTACATAATAAAGGTAAACTTTAGTATAAATATAAACTTTGGTGTAACCTAGTGTACTTATTGTTTTTGAGAAAGCAATACTTATGTTTTTTAGCTGTTTAAAATGCCAGCACGAGTAAAACAGCGTTCATCCGTCCAGCGCACTTTGTTTTAATAAAGTTAGGGTCTGCTGCACTTCGATTTTGGAACCAACTGCAAAATTCAAGACGATTGGGGAAATCAGCTGGTTCTAAAGTTTGAACTTTTTGAATATGATACGGGTTGAGTGAATTCTCGCGCAATATCCGCCAAACTTTGGTTTGTGATATCTCCAGTCGCCTTGAAATTGTTCTTGTGAAAACAGTAGGCTGCTCCACGACTAAATTTAAAACAGCCTCTATCACATTTAAGTCATTTTATCAATGTTCTGCACGTTCGCTGCGCGGTATGGTGTGATAGATGCAGTTGGAAAAATGCGGGAGATATGGAAGGTGGTAGATTTGAATTAACGCTTTAAATTGTTAATGGTTTTGTAATCGTGTGTAGTGTATTTTGTGTATTCGAGCATTTAGTAGTGTGCCGACTTTTTTTATTTGATAAAAGCCTACAAACAGGTCTCCTCTGCTTTATTTATTTTCTTTTAACGAAAGTTGACTTCGAGAAGTCAGGCTTGTTAAAACATTCTGCACTAAGTTAATACAATTGTTAAAATTATTTGTAATAAAATGCAGCATGCTCCTTTATTTACTTGCATACGTTTAACGCGGAACGCGGGACCCAAAGTAAATGTGAACCACAGATTATGACGTGAACTTGGCAACGCTGTTCGCTCCAGCTGACGACTGATTCGTGACATTACGTTACAACATTTTCCGAGCATCCGGGCATCTGGAAGGGCCGCCCTCGTAGCGGGAGTTATGGGTTGATTTCCTTCATTTTTAAAAGTCGAGTAAAATTATTTTTTTCCGATTTTAATATTTCTACATAAATAATTTATAACTATTCGAATAATCAAATCAATGTTTCTAAATAATATATTCTTTCTAAATTTATCAATACAGCTTTATATTGTCTTGAGAAGAATGCATATTACTATAATATTTTATTTTTAACACTAGTGTTAAAAGTTTTTTTGCACCAGTGTCAAAGTGTTTTTGGTACGTAACATTACTTATCAATAAATTAAAAATATAATTTGTAATGACAATTTCACAAAAAATTATTGTTAGCTATTACTATGTTTAACCATCAAATTTTTTTTGTTACAATTATAATTTGACACATAAAAGCAGTAAACAAAAACTAAAATGTAAACTAATTAGTTGATGCATCGTCCTCTAAACCAAAACAATAATATTTTGATGATTGTCATATTGTCGCTTTCGAGATTTGCACCATATTTGTTTATATAGAAATTTAAAATTAAATTGCTAATACAAATAGCAACAAAGTACAATCAGCATACACAGAAAGCCACGCTATTTTTAATACTTACTGACTGAAATAAGTTGAGATTGCTGTGTTGACTGGTTTAGTGACACATCTCTTTTTGGAAGATAATATCTGTTAAGGAACAAATACATGGCGTTTGTAACATGTTTGTGCAGTCAGCTTTATGATACTGTCCTGAGAAATGTTCTTATCATAAAAAACAAAACACCTTAAAGTAAATAAGTCTAAATTATGTACTGGCTCGTCCATTTCAAAACTTTGTTGTGACAGACAATCTTTATAGATAAACAGATGGTTGAACAGGTAATTTTTTTCCATAAAGGATATTTGACAAAATTGAAAAACTTGGCTTAATAAATCCCTACTAATATTATAAATGTGAATGTAAGTTTGTTTGTTACGCTTTCACGAGAAAACTACTTAACCGATCATGATGAAACTTTGTACACATATTCTTGGAGGTATTAGAAGTAACATAAGATCTTTTTATTAAAAAAAAAATATTTTTTACGAAATATTTTCTATTTTTATTTACCCACGAGCGAAGCCTACTAATAATAATAATCCCTACTAATATTATAAATGTGAATGTAAGTTTGTTTGTTATGCTTGCACGGGAAAACTACTTAACCGATCATCATGAAACTTTGTACACATATTCTTGGAGGTATTAGAAGTAACATAGGATACTTTTTATTAAAAAAAATATTTTTTACGAAAGATTTTCTACCACTCTGCGAGCGAAGCCGCGGGTAAAAGCTATTATTTTATAAATATACGGTGTGTAAAAAGTAAATACATTCAGATTCAATTCATAGAAAAAATGGGGTAAGTACAACTCAAAAAATGTCATTTTGCTGTAACAGCGCTTTAAGTTTTATTTTCTTATACTTCCTCTTTATATATATGAAATTTGCTGATACCCTGTTATATTTATTTTTTGTAGTACCAAGTGATTTTTTTGTAATGAAACATATTTTTTTCCAATTTGTTTTGAGTTGTAACATTATCATTTAAATTTATTTTAATTTTGAAATAGTAGTTTCCTTTTGATATTGTGTTACATGTATTTTTTTTGTAGTTAAATATACCTTCCCCAAATTTATTATTATTTAGTTATAAAAGTTATATTTCATTTAATTTCAAGTTTACACGAAAACAAAACAAAAATATTAGTAAAAAATTGCTTAAAAGATATTCCAAAATGTCGAGAAACAAAGTTGATTTTATCCTATTAGTATATTCTCGCTATAATTCTGGAGCGGTTTAAGATATCAATTTCAAAGGACCCCGCACAAACCTTATGAATTTCAGGTCCCGGTGTCCAAAATAGAGGTTCCTATTTAAAAAATTATATTTGACCTTCAAATGGCCTTGAAGGTTAATGTCAAGATCAGAAAGATATCAAGTACAACATATAAAAAATCCAGACAAATTCACAGCGACCTGAAATTCATAAGGTTTGTGCGGGGTCCTTTGGTGCACGTGTTTTTTTAGAGGTTAGAATTATTTGTATTGCTTTTTGAAGTATCCTTCCAAGAGGAGAGGGGGAAGTAGGAAAGTGGTTGTATCTTCGTTACATTTTTCACTTTTGTTCCTTGTTTATACCAAATAGCAGCTAGTTGGTCCACAAAAAAGTAGTAATATACAAATACTATTTCTGTTGTACTAAGGCAAAACCTTGTAATTCTAATTGCTGTTATTTTTATAAATCATTATCAAGATTCTGAATTATAGGTTATAACACTAATATACAAGTGCGTTAGGTTCATTATTCTAGAATAAATAAAATAATGAATTTTTAAATTTTCCTTTATTATCGTATAAATTTATCCTCAGATGTAATTTGGAATTGACAACTACTTTAGTCACTAGCGAATGTACAGAAACTCTCGTTAGACTTTTAGACGTACCTCCGTACCCGATAAACCTCCTTAATCATGTAATTCCAGAATAACAAGAAAAAATTATGGTACTAATGGAAAATCTTCGAAATGTCATATTGTCAAGAATTTTTAACTAAAGCACACATTCAAAAATTTCGAGCTGTAAGAGTATGACTTTTTCGAAAACTCAATATTAACAGAGTTAGATAACCTCAAAATTATTTTTTATTAATTTATATTTTTCTGTTTTTTTTAAATTGCGCGGTTTTTTCAATTTTTTTTCTTGTTATTGGCAACAGACTGTACCTATAAAATAGAAATCATTGAAATCCTACAACTCATATTTGCGCTTGCTCCAAAAAATTTGTTAACTTAATATTAATGATGATATTAATCATTTCCGACAAAAAAATATAGTTAATATTTTAAAGAAGCCGGACTTAAAAGAAAAGTATATTGTTTACAGCTGTAAGCATTAAAATTTAGTAAATCGTTATTGCGTTGATTAATTAATAAAAATTATAAAATTTTATCAATAATAATAACCCCTAAATAATTTGTTCTTATTTGCTGAACACCTTGTATATTGATGTCGGATGAGATTAATCTTGTTATAATACTATCAAAATCATTTTATACGGATCAAAAATAGAATTAGTAATGTGTTGTTATTGTATTTGTAGTTGTTAAAGCGTAATTAACGATAAAAGTTATCAAGATAATGAATGAAGTCATTTCAATGAAAAAATATATATTATCCAGTATTTTTTTAGAGGAATTAACTTTTGAATATATCATACGTCCATCAACTTCTTTAAACGTTGCACAGAGATTCATAGAAAACAAGCGTGTTACATATTTTATCTATATTTCTTGATTCTCTATTTCTTTGTTAGCTATAGGTACCTACTTTTCGACAGTCTTATACTTATTTTATATACAGGGCGAGTCATTAATATACAGAGCTTAATGGCAGATTGTTAACGTCAAAATATAGCGATTGAGCCAAACATGCCTAAGTCAATTGTTGCTCCTTTTCGTTTTATAGTGTGTTAAAGTTGAAAAAATATTTTCGATTTGTTGCTATATTTTAAGTATGATAGGACGGTTTGTTTTGAAAATTTGTAGTTTTACGTTTTCAGAGGTGGTAAATACGAAATGCAAACAGAATTGCAGTCACGTCTAGGGGGCGCTAGTTATACTGCCCTATAAATGTAAAAATGTCTAACTTTTTGTATTTTACAATTTTTAATTTTTTAACTAGAAATTGTTAAGCTACGTTCAATTCTAAATGAAAAAGGTATATTTGTTACAAATCTATAAACTCGACCGTTTTCAAGATACAGACATTTGAATTTTTTGAGATTCAGCGGGAATTAAATTAGAAATTTAGCTGGTCTTCAGATAACAAACTTGAATTTAGAATTAAGACAAACATTATAGCAACTGAAAATTTTATTATGCATTTGTTAATAAAATAAAAGATTTTCAAAGCGACTTCAATGCACTTAAGATAGCTTGAAAGAAAAATCCAGCGGATTTAAATCAGGGCTATGTGCAAGCCAAGGTACTTCGCTACCGCGTCCAATCCAATGGTGCGGGAAATTTCTATTCTCTCTAAGATATTCTCTTACTTCTCGGGTATAATGTGCTGTCAATTTATTATGTCAATGCCTACTACTTAGAAAAAATATTTTTTTAAATTTAATTCCCGCCGAATCTCAAAAAATTAAAATATCTGTATCTCGAAAACGGTCGAGATTATCGATTTGTAACAAGTTTACCTTTATTATTTAGAAATGAACGTAGTTCAATAATTTCTAGTTAAAAAATTCAAAATTGTAAAATACAAAAAGTTAGACATATTTTTACATTTAGAGGACAGTATAACTAGCGCCCCCTAGACGTTACTCCAACACTGTTTACACATTCGTATTTGCCGCCTCAAAAAACGTAAAACTACAAATATTCAAAACTATCGGTCCATGCATACTTAAAATAGGGTAAATCTAGGAGAAATGACGCATCAGATGAGATGACGCACTGCTCGTTCTGGCACAATCATTGTTCATAGCGTATATTTGGCAAGACCGGTAATTCTTATTATGTCGTCACATATATACGTATCAAATACAGTTATATTTGAGTAGTGTTAGTGACAGTCTTTTGTTAAATTTATTGAGGTTACACTAAATATTTTTACATCGTTTAGAGTAAGAAAATATACACGTATGTTGTTATATTTTTATTAAGTTTTCAAGGATTCTGTTGTAGATAATGAGTAGTTAAGTAGTTCTAACCTCAATTTCACACATTTTCTCTAATTAATTTAGTTAAAAGTTGCTGCGTCAACTCACCTTATACTGTAAAGTGAGTTGACGCACGTATGAGTAAGGAGAGTTGGCGCAATAATAGACACATCGTTTAAAATGTTACTTTGTCAGAAATGTTATTAATTTATCGTTTATAGCATACCGACGAAATATAAAAGAAATGGAAACGTTAGAAGAGGAGGGGGGACAATAGAACAGTTGTGTATAGCAATCAGTGCTATCGATAGAGATGAGATTCCTGAGGCAGGTCGCGAATTCGGTAGCCCCGAATGCACTTTGCGACGCCGAAGGAAAGGTGAAGACCTCAAACTAAACCGTTTGGACCTTCAAGTACACTAGGAGCCCACAATAGGATAAATTAGTAAAGCAAAAGTTGAAACACATGGATTTGTACCTAGGAGATCCTTTATGCGATTTATGGCTTTTGAGTTAGCAGAAAAAGTAGAATTATCCTACAATTTCAACAGAATATCTCGCAAGGCAGGCTACGTATGCATGGTTAGATTTTTTTTTAAGAAGAAATAAATAACTATACGAAAACAATTATGTTTTCGTTCAGAGTATATGCTTCTTTATCTAACTACAATAATGAGTATTTATATTTATTATTATTAATAAGTTTCAAAATAAACCAAAAGTAAATTATAAAAATTAAAAATGTGCGATCGTTTAATATACTGCGTTATCTCTCCTCGATACCTAAGGTGAGATGACGCAGTCATAAGAAAAAAAAATGTCAGTTTTTACCAAAATCTCCGACATTTTGTCATATTTGAAGTCATATATTATAACTTAGTAAGCTCTTTTATAATTATTTTAAAAAATGTGCGTCATCTCTCCTAGATTTACCCTATAGAAAAAATCGAAAATATTTTTTCAACTTTAACACCCTGTAGAACGGAAAGGAGCAAAAATTGATTAAGGCATGTCTGGCTTAATCACTATATTTTGACGTTAATAATCTGCCATTAAGCTGTGTACTATTATTAATGACTCACCCCATACAAAGGCTTAGATAAATTATATGTAAAAAAGAACAGCAAATATTTTGAACAGGAGTTTTAGGATGTTCAATTTTTTTATTCCATAAAGCTGTATACAGTCTTTAAAACAGCGTTTTTTTGCGTCTAAATTTAATATTTTCTTATTCATATATTTGTATTTGAAGTTTTTGAGTTTGAGTTACAGTTTTTCAGAAAAATGTTATATCTCTTCTGATGAAATAAGAGAACACATCGAAAAGTATTTTAAGGATTGAAACGGCATTTTGAACACTAGTTGTAAAATAATTACATTAATTAAATTTGTTTAAACCTGTCATTTTCATAAACTGTAAATATTAATTCAAAACTAAACAAAGATTCTCAATTAGACGTTTAAAAGTTCAAGATCTATTTTCGAAAATTTTCACCACCGGTTTGCCAAAAACAAGGGTTCATATGTTTAAACAAAAAACATTCAAAAACTCCCCTCCATTTCTAATACTCTGTACTTCTATTATGTACTTAATTTAATCAACAAGTGGGCAGAACCTTTTTTTGTCGCAGGATTGTATGCAAATAACTCTATTATCATTAAAATTTGTTTACGCACTTTTACCACATCGCAGTTAGAGTAAAAAATATTTTTAATCGTCTTGGTGACAACAAAAACAATTTGCGTAATTTCGACTTCGAATTTCTCTTAATAAAAACAAGGAACGATCGTTTTTTTTAATCCGTGTCAAATAGTCGGGGAATAGCCATTGAGTACTCACGTTTTTAAGACATGGTTGTTGTTTGGATTGTACGTCATGAGCGGGAACTATCAAAAAACGCACATGTACTATAAATATATGATGAGGATGCCGGCACTACATATCGCGGACACGCTGTAGAGAAGAACCTGACTGAAAAAACCGCTCCGAGCGCCTGGCTATGGCGAACGTAGCTCGCCGACGAATTAACTTCAAGAATGTTATCATGTTTATCACTTTATCGCGGTGACCTTAAGTGACAGGGAATACGCAAGCAGGTCGCATTATTCCGCGGAAAGAACGGTGTGGAATTGACACACGATTGTTTCTTTGAAAATAGACGAATAAGCAGGATGATGGATGGGGAGGCTAATGGGAAATTGGACAGGGCTATGCCCTTTGTAGGCAAATCGTGACGTAAACAACGCTTTGTTTGTGAGGTTCATTTCTTTGATTATTTTGTTGTTTTCTTGTCTACACCACTGACGGAATATTTCCGAGTTTATTGTAGAGTTATCGGTTCGGCTTTGTTTATATTTTTGAAAACCATGCTGATTTGTTTGTGTTTAAGTTTGACCTAATTTCAAAAATAAGATAGACGTCAGATGTGGACGTTAATTATTAAAAAAAAAACAAGATTAAAGAAGACAGTTTTGTATTTGTTATACACTGCTACTGACTGAAATTGTTCATTCATTAGACGCATTAAAAGTTCCATATCTCATCATTTTTTAGAAAATTCAAGCAAATTAAAATAATCCTCATAAGTAACGAGCGTTCAAATAAAAACGTGGTCAAGTTGGTTCTGAAAATTTGGACGTAGGGCGTAGCGTATAGCAAATGAACTTAAACGTCATCTGTGAATATTTTCGTTTTAAAAAGCGTTTAAAATGGTGTTTTCTCAAGAACAAAAAGTGTTTATCATAGAGTCCTACTTTAGAAATGGACGCAAGATTGATGGAATATGGAAGTATTCTATTGAGGAATGTTTCATAGAATTTCAAAATCAATTTCCCGGCGTTGTTGAGTACAAAATTTTTCAAAGTGCAGTTCAGCGTTGTGTTAATGTTTTTCGTGAAACGGGCAGTGTAACAAGAAAAGAAGGAAGTGGCCGACCAAAAAAGCGGACTGAAGAATTAAAAGAAAATGTCCAACAAATAATGGAAAATGCGCCAAGAACTTCTGTACGTGTTTTATCACAAATGGTGGGAGTATCAGTCGGTACCTACCACACAGTGTTAAAAAAAGATTTGCGTTTGTTCTCCTATCGTTTAACTTGTCAGCAAGAACTTCATGAAGTTGATTTTCCGCGACGGGCTGTATTTTGTGAATGGTTTTTAAACATCTACGGTGAACTTCATAATATCACCTTTTTTCTGATGAAGCCTGGTTTCATTTAAGTGGTTACGTAAACTCACAGAATATGAGAATGTGGTCTTCTGAAAAACCAGATAACTTTTTTGTCGAGGGCCCTCTACACGCTCAAAAAATTGGAGTTTGGTGTGCTCTCAATCGAAGGAGGATTTATGGACCTATTTTTTTTAATGGTACTCTTACTGCGCAAAGGTATAGAGAAGAAATTATCGCTCCTTTTGTTAACCAGCTGGAAGAAAACGCAATTACAAACTTTTACTTTCAACAAGATGGCGCAAGGGCACATACTTACGGCAGGCGAGACGATGAATATGTTGAGGGAAGTTTTCCAAAATCGTTCAATGTTGAACATGAATTTCCACCGAGCTCATGTGATATTACGCCGTGTGATTTCTTTTTGTGGCCTTACCTTAAAAACACTATTTTTGAACTGCCTATTCCTGATTTAAACCATCTGCAGGCTCGACTTATAGACACGATTCGTGAAATTAACAATACCCCGAGCATCTTAGAAAATGTCTTTAATTCTTTGAGGAACAGGTGTGAAAAGTGCTTGGAACAAGGAGGGGGACACTTTCAGCAGCTGCTTTAATTTATTGTTATAACAAGGAGGGATACGCTTTCCGCAGCTCCTTTAATTGTTTGTTATTGTTATCACGATTATTCTTTAAAATAAAGTTATATAGTCATTAACGTTATTGAAACTGACAGCTGCTATACAGCTCGTAGACGTTGAGAAATGAGGTTAAGTTGGTCGCTATAAGCTACTCCCTACGTCCAATGTGTCAGAGCCAACTTCGACCACGTTTTTATTTGAACGCTCGTTATAATTCAAACGATAACTTAAGTGTCAATGTCAAGATAGTTGTCAAATTGTTATTTTATTTGTTTTGGTGTGTTTCTGGTCATGGCCAATTTGATCACAGGTCTGATACCAGAAAAACTGCCCAAAAAAAAATAAAAAATTGCAAATATCTCTAAAAGTATAGTAACGGCAACCACAACAATGATTATACGGCTTGAAAGGAAATTTCAATCTGCATACAATAGAGAAATACAGGGTATTCCATTTAAGTTAACAAAGTTATAGCTGTTTGAAGTTATCAAAAGGTAACAGCAAAAATGAAACACCTAGTATTAAATGTTTTAACTTGTTGGTATACCATAATTCAGTGTTACCTTTGCCTTTAACAGGTACCAAAAATCCACTTGATACCACGCTCGTGAAAAGATTTTCTAGCTTCTCCGCGGACACTTGCATCTGTTAAATTTTTATAACTGCTAGGTATAGGGAATTTTTAATAAAGTGACCCTCAAATTTCACGTAGAATCGGAAAATGCAATAATATATAGGGTGTCCCATTTAAAATAACGAAGTTGGTGTCGACTTCCGGTATAACCGGAAATGCTGGAGAGTTCTAGATATTTCAGACATTGCCATGTTACCAACGTTTCAAATTTTTCGGAGCAGTAAAGGTTAACCCTATCTTTAATTGTCTCTAAAATCCAAGTCCGATACGTTCCATTGTTAATTAACAATTAACATTATAAAAAAAGTTATATTGGGAACAAAGACGCATAGCTGATTTCTTTTTTAAATTACTGTAAAAAATATCTGTGTTTAATGCAAAGAGAGCGAATTCCCGAGCGGCTTTCGCCGGACCCTGGGACAATTTGTTTATAACGCTGTTTTGCAAGTCCTACTTTGGTAGTTGTAAATAGTAGGTGTCTTAATTTAAACTTTTTAATTTTTCTTTTTCTTTTTTGATAGTTTCTTTGGATCTAATAGAACCTATATCTACGATATTAACTTCTAAAATTAACGTTTAGTAATTATATAATTTACTTGCAAACAAAAAAAGAATTTAATTAACAAATAGCTGGAGCAACAATTTCACGGTCAATTGAATTGTTGGTCATTGGATTTTTTTTTCCATAAATTTTTGAAAACTTATTTTTCGGCGATCAACCTTTATTTTGCAGTTAACAAATTGGTGAAATATGACTATGGATACCTTAATAAATTGTACCTAGATAATTTAATTGTCTACAACAAAAAATTACCAATTTTCCGATGGATCGTCTAGATTTTCGTCGAAAGTAAAAAAAAAAAGTGAAAAAACACGCAATTTGCCAACTTAGCGTGACATCTTTCGACTTACTTTTTTGTATTGTCATACTCTTCCCCATAAAGTGTAATAAAATGTCTACTAATAATTATTTCAAATTTTCAGGTTTTATGATCTAATTCGACTACAGCAGCATAGTTGTAACGTCTCTTCTTGAGCTTCTACCAGTTGTGAACATTTGCATTTATTGTCTTTTGTAAATGTAAAAATATGTAATTTGGAGATGATGACTGATGAATATTCATTTTTGTGGTGTTTATACATTTTTTCGCTTATTTTGTTTTGGCGTGCTGAGGAATTTAGACACATAATTAGTTACTTAGCAATATACACAACATTTTTTATTTATTTTCATTCATCCTTTGATCCTTCTACATAATACGGGCTCTGCATTTGTTTTATGTTTCTGTCTTGTGTCTATTTAACTTAATTTTAACTACTTAATTTAATATTCAGTATTTTGATGCAGACGTCAAAGTTATCTTAACAAGAACAAACCGGGTTTATGGTAAGTTAAGTTCCAATTTCTCATTTTTACTCTAATGATCTATCTAACTGTTGAATTAGAAAGTTGCAATGAAGGAGAATCTGTAAAAATTATGTCATGATTTGCTCAAGGGTAGCCTTGCTGTTTAAATAGAATTGTGGGATCTAATAAATGTTTCATTTATTTGTAAAACACAAATTACTCAGGCGTTTGTACAGGGTTCTTCACGGTAAGTGGCCTACACTTACCGTGAAGAACCCTGTATACTAATTCCTTAAATAAGGCCAGTGCCGTACCAACGGGGATAAGGGACCGTGAGCTTAGAGCTCAATATTGACGTTTAAATTATGTTTTCTGTATGTCAGGTGTCAAAAAGACGCTAGTTAACTGAAACCAAAAATACTCTTCTATTATAGAAAACAAATTTATTTTTCATATACATACATATAGTTGCTATTAATATAATTGGACGGAACATTGCATTATTTATTTATTACGATTGAAAAATACTGTCACTTCAAGTTTCGAAGATACTTTAAAAGTGTGAATGATTCGCTACATTTAAGGTTATGTTACATCGCGAAGTAATTTTTTTTCAGAAAACTCGTTATCGCTTTTGAAAGCGCTACTCTTCTTCCCCAAAATCCATTTTGAATCCTCTGAACATCTGTTTTTCTCCCTTAATAATCACTTGTTGAAATTGATTAGTTTGGCGTACTTGTCGATATTCGAAAATGAGTAGACGGGTGAAGAGAAAAAGCAAGAATCTAATCACTAACAATTAAATTCCACTGGTTCTTCAGGATTCCAAAATTTTGTCGACTTACTTTTATTTTTAAATACCAATATTTTATTATTCGCGAAAACTAATCGAAATCAGCAAAGATTATTCGGAAATGAAGTAATCGAACGATTTGAAATGGATTTTGGAGAAGAGGAGTAGCACTTTATTACAAAAAATTAATATGAAACGTCCAGTATAATTGATTATAATCCAGTCCGGTATAATTTATTTTAATTTATGGAAAATGGTTAGTGAAAATGCTACCACAGGACCAAAACCTTATCGAGATTTAATTGTACCAATCTAAAATGTTTCCGGGATGTTCGTTAGTGGAAATGACGCCACAAGAACAAAACCTTATCGAGATTTAATTGTAGCAATCTAAAATATTTCCGGGGTGTTCGTTTAAATAGGTAACGACTAAGTTTGTTATAAAACTGTTTCAACTGCGAATTCAAATTAAATAACAACGGCCAACAAAAAAAAAAAAATATGATTTCCTTTGTATTTTTGTTTCCTGAGTACGAATCCCTAATCTGTTTTGCTCCATCACCCTTCAGTTTTCCGTAAATCCCTGAATACCTTCAGAAAATCGCTAAAAATCTTCAGTAAAATGGAGAAATTTAGGAAGTGACGAGATCTTGACATGCGACACATGTTTTTCGACGTAATTTTCCATCCTGAATCCTATTCCGATGTCAGAATTACTCCATAACCGTTTAGCCTTCAAAAAATCGATGAAGAGATCTTCAGAAAAAAGGCGAATTTTGAGAAGGGACGAGATCTTGACTCTGCTCTCCAATCTTTAGCAAAATACGAAAGTGAATAAGGAAAAGAATAAAAATAAGGATTAGCACATTTATGTCATTTGTATCTTCTTTCGGATGGCCGTCGATTTTTCCGGCGTTCCACTACCCCATCAAACCCTGAATAATATCTGGGTTCTACGACTATCCGGGAATGTTTGTGTTCACGAATCTGTTTTGAGGGTGTGCTCCAGAGCATTTCATACGTATTCTATTCGGCATCTTCTTGTTGACCAGCAAGCCTTCAAACGCAGAGATGCAGCCACTGTTCTTCTTTTGATCTCTTCTTTACCAATTGATCCTTATTAAGTATCGATCGCAACAATGATTTAATTAACAGAAGACGAAAATATATCGAAAATCATGAGAACAAATTTGCCATTTTTTAGACCATCACCGATTTTTTGAAGACTAGACGGTGATGGAGTAAATATGACATTGGATTCGGATTCAGAAGGTAACAATACGTCCGAAAACACATGCCGCATGTCAAGATCTCGTCACTTCTCAAATTTCGCCCTTTTTCTGAAGATCTTCAGCGATTTTTTGAAGACTAGAGGGTTATGGAGTAATTCTGACAACGGATTCGGATCCAGGAGGTAAAATTACGTCGAAAATCATGTGTCGCGTGTTAAGATCTCGTCACTTCCATTTTACTGAAGATTTTTAGCGATTTTCTGAAGGTATTCAGCGATTTACGGAAAACTGAAGGGTGATGGAGTAAAAACAGACTATGGATTTGTGTTCAGGAGACAAAAATACACGGGAAACCATATGCCGCATGTAAAGTTCACATAACTTTTTTTTGTTGGCCGCTGTGTTGGAGTATAAATAGATCGCAACGCAACTATCGATCTACTTGAAATTATGTAGTTTTCTGATAAAATCACAATAGTGTCTACACTAAATCGTTTTTAATGAGATTTGTTCACTTAGTATATCTGTTACTCATATTTAAATACCAAAATCAATGATCGTTAACTATTTATGCAACGATAATGTAAATAGTCCAGTCATTCTGTCCAAAAATAAAGCGAAGAAAAAAAAGTGAACCGGGAAAGCCAAATTTTTTATATGTTGTGGGGGGGGGGGGGCTTAGAAAAGCTTAATTTGAGATTTGAGACCAAGATTTCCTATGTGCATTTTCCGCCATCTTGGAAAAAGGGGTGAATTTTTGTTTTAGCTATAACTCGGTTCCCCGTCGAGATATAGAATTGTTGTTTTATTGTTTTTTGTTCTCCTTTCGACGATCTACAATTTAGGTCCTATAACTTTTTCACCTATTACTGTTAGTTATTAAGATATCGAACAAAATAGATGAAAATTAAAGATTCGATCCAGGTTTTTCGGGTTTTCTCTTTTTCCTTAATACTTACCGAAAACATATCTATTATAAAACTTGTAAGGGTTGTTTGTACGGACAATTTGTTGTCTTTGTTTTTTCTCTAGGGTGATAATTGCGTGTTCTATCGCGCCGCGAAGTAGGCAAGTCCGTGTGAAATTTTTCCGTCCGTGCGCCGCCATCTTGAAGAAAGCGGTAAATTATGGTTTTCGCGATAACTCGATTCTTTGTTGAGATACAGATTTGTTGTTTTGTTATTTTTTCTCTTCCGACGATCTACAATTTAAGTCCTATAAACTTTTCACCTATCATTGTTACTTGTTGAGATATATAACAAAATAGATAAAAATTCAAAGATTCGATCTGGTTTTTCGGGGTTTTCTCTTTTTCCTTAACACTTATCGAAAAAATTACCAAACTTGTACACGATATTCGTACAAACAATTATGTTTCACACGTATGGAACTTACTATTCAAGAATGTTTTCGTGGGCAATGAGAAATCGTTCTCTCGTGGTTGGCAAAACTTCCGGATCGACGTGTTTTCGTTTGAATAATTCAACCGATAGGAGTTATATTTTTCCAATATGCTGATGAATTTCGATTTGCCGATGCTGAACAAAGATGAGGTGGTATCGCAACCGCTGAATGTATGAATGAAAAGTATTATGTTCGTACGAATATTCTCTGCAAGATTCATAATATAAATTTTTTCGATAAGTATTAAGGAAAAAGAGAAAAACCCGAAAAACCAGATCGAATCTTTGAATTATTATCTATTTTGTTCGATATATCAATAACTAACAATAATAGGTGAACAGTTTATAGGACCTAAATTGTAGATCGTCGAACAAAAACAATAAAACAACAATTCTGTATCTCGGGAACCGAGTTATAGCAAAAACAAATATTCGCCCCCTTTTCCAAGATGGCGGAAAATGCACATAGGAAATCTTGATCTCAAATCTCAAGTTAAACTTTTCTAAGCACCCCCCCATAACATATAAAAAATTTGGCTTACCCGGTTCACTTTCTTTTCCAAATGTACAGGATGACTGGACTAAAAGGAAAGTTATGAAATCAACGAAACGTCAGAAAATACTGTTTTATTTTAGACTACAACATTTACCAAGATGATTATAAAAATATATATCACAAAAAATAGAAATCATTTCGTTTGACCATGTAATATATGAACTATGTATGTACATACTGGTACAAAATTAACAAAATCTAAGATGGGGCAGATTTTAATACTTTAGAAATATCAAAATAAATTGCGATATGACTGTGTGCTCTATATACATATACACAATAAAACTATAATACAAATATGTATAGAAGCTATGTAATGTTCTACACAAGTATTTCATTTTGCTTTTTATGTGAACAGATGTCATAAAATGAAAGTTAGAAAGAAACTTTTCTTAATAAAGAAAACATTGGCGAATATTTACTGGAATAAAACTAAGTAAAAAAAATAGAGTAAATTACGGGTACTTTAAGCACAATATTAAAACAAATTTTCACCATAGTAAAAGTATGTTCAAATAAAAATATTTATCATTTTATGATCACTAAAAATATTAAATTCAAAAGAATATTTATATACGAGTATTTATTATAAATTCACTACAAAAAAAAATTCCTAACGTGAAAAGGAAACCAATTAATCACATTTTCCTTTCCAAGATCATACCGTCGAGCACAAACGCTTAAACAAACGCGCTTACAGATTAAAAAAAGAGTTCCAGAGATGTTTTAAACATTGGCTTATTACGGTCTATATTTACATTTCTAAATAGTTACGTTCTCTACTACGTGGAATTTTCCTTGAGAGGAACGATTTCCGGCTCAGCACTTTTGGAGTTCGCTTTCTTCGACTTCTTTCTTCCAAAGAGGTTCATGGTACACAGTTTGTAGCACATGCAGATCTGCACCAATATACCGACGATTATCGAGATTATGCTTATCGCCCAACATATCACTTTGAAGTTGAGCAGTAGTTTTATGGTGAAGGTCATATTTTCTGGAATTGCGACTACCTGCTCGAACCAGAGCACCGGGAAGTAAACTGTTGGCACCCCCTGGTATAAACTGTAACAGGACACAGAGATTGGTTAAAGTCTAGTAAAAAATAGTAAATACATCATATAAAAAATCTTGCTAGCACAATATCAGAAGTGCTATGTTTTTCGATTTTGCCGTTTTATATTGTTTATCCACGTTTTATTGCTTCCTGAATAAATTTCCTTTCATTTTATAGCCAGCAACTCACAATACAGAAGTGTATGTCAATAGATAATTTGCCTAATTATTCCAAATCAAAATTCAGTTCAATACAATAATATTGTTTTACTTTTAGACCAAGCAAATTAAATTTTTACTCGAAAAAAGTCCTATTCCCGAGATTAGTGTAAAATTGTCTAAAGGAACATAATACAAGACATCTCCCATCTCGTGAGTCAAAAACTTTTATTAGCTTACTTTTCTATTTAAACAAATAAGTGAAGAAAACAGTTTTTTCACTTTGCAGGGAAAACCATCAATTTTAGCGAAAAGTGACTCACAGACACCTTATACGAAAGTAAAATTATCTACAAATGAGACTTGTTAAATTAAAATCAGTTAATAAACAAAAAAGTTATTGCAAAAAAACAAGGAAAGTGCCCATTTTTTAATTTGTTTATAACTATCGCATTTATTGTTAAAATTTTATAAAACCTATGACAAGTTGAGGGTTTTGTCATACTTTAAAAGTGTGCCAAAAGTGGACGCTGTAGGTGCAATAGTTTTCGCACA